CTTCTTCATATTATTATTTAAATTTAATAAACTCAAAGTTAACAATTTTAGTCTTTCAAAATATTATTTAAATTACCACAAGACAAACAAATTGGATAAAAAAAAAATAACCTCCACTGATCAATTTGTCATTATATTCTCCATTTTCTGTTCATTTTTTCATTGTTATACAATATTCAATTTTTGCAAAGATGAATTTATTATGAAAGAATTTCACTATAAAAAATAAAAAAAAAAACAAAAATCGTATCTAAAATTATTATCAACTATATCCATTAACAAGGTAGTTGAGGTAACATTCTTTAATTGCAAAATGAAATAGAAATATGACATTTTTCGTTGAAGACTTCGAACAACTATATTCATTAACAAGGTAGTTGAGATAACATTCCTTAATTGCAAAATGAAATAGAAATATGATATTCTTCGTTGAAGACTTCAAAGTAAACCATTGAATTAAGGTTGAAAGTTGAAAAGGAATAGATCTTGCATCAAACATCATCAACAGTAAACTAGTCAAACATAGGGAAACCAAGTATTTAGATGACTTTTATTGAGAACTTTAACCTTAATTGGGAATAATATATAACATAAGTTGCCAACAATAAGGTCTTAATTAGCATGAATAAAAATATTAGGAAGAAATTGAAAACAAGGACTAAGTTGAGGGACAACTTATAATTATCCCTTAATATTTCCTAGAGAGCAGCGACTGCACTGCTTTGGAACTTGAGATCGGTCTTGAAATCCTAAGCGATCTCTCGCACAAGGCTCTGGAACGAAAGGTTTCAGATCAAAAGCTCAGTACTCTTCTGGTACTTCTTGATCTCTCTCAGAGCCACAGTTCTCGGCCTGAAACGGTGAGGCTTCTTCACTCCTCCGGTGGCCGGTGCTGATTTACGAGCAGCCTTGGCGGCAAGCTGCTTCCTCGGCTCCTTGCCTCCGGTCGACTTCCTGGCTGTTTGCTTAGTACGAGCCATCTCAGGGAACAACAATGAGATTCTAAGGAATTTTGGGAGAGGGGGGAAGCGGACTTCTCATCGCCGTCGATGAGAAGAGAGAGTGCAGACCAAATTCAATTCAAAATTGAAATTCAGGGGTTATAGGGTGAAATTGAAATACACGTATTTTACTCTTGGGAATTACATTGTTAAAATACATGTATTTCACTCAAATTCAATTACTTTTTGTTTATGTAAAAACAAACAGTGACATTGAATTTTAACCCTTCAAATTCAAATACATTGTTTCAAATTCGTGTTACCAAACAGACCATATGTTATTAAAGGTAAAAAACAAAATTGAAATTTATTAGATAAATATTAATTAAAAATGTGATAAAAAATTAAAAAATTAAAAAGGATAAATTGGTCAATAAAATTAAAAAATTCTAATCAATTAGCGGTTCATACAAAAAATTACATAAACCAACTTTTTCAATCCGCTATCTGCTAGTCTCAAACCGCTAAATAAAAATTTTACCAAACACTTTATTTATAATAGTTTTGAAATATATAAGTTTACCAAACACCTATATTTAACGGTTTAAGTAAAATCGCTAATCATTACCGTAAAACTACTATAGCAAACGAGACCTTAGTGGCAGTAATACAATTCATTTTCATTGCTACATGTAACATGCTTCTATTCATTCATTTGATATTTGTAGTTACTTCTATTCGGTTTATTTTTAATAAATTTAATTGATTTTTAAAATTTTTTAAATATAAATTTTAAATAAAAATTTAATAATTTATATATATTTTAAAATTATTATTATTATTTTATTTGACCTAATAAATAAAAAAAAATTTTTAACAACTTTATAAAGAGTCAGATTCAAACCGTTAAAAAATATATATCTTTATACGTGGCTTCACACCACTTAGCACGAAAGCCGAAGTGCAAGTCAATTAAAATAACTACAAATCATTGTTGTAATTAATTCGAATTGACAATTTTTTTTGCTCATCCAAATAAAAAGAGAATTTTCCTCTAATATTTTCGTATGTCCACGTGAAGCCAGCTAGGAAGCACATGTCCGTAAAAGGAAAATTTGACAGCAACGGAATCGCCCAACAGTAGGCCTATTTTAAAAGGCTCTTAAAAGTTTAGGATACAGTCGTGCGCATAAAAAAGGTTTGGGGTGGAATGGTTGGATCTGTAAAAGCTTTGGAGCAAGATTAATATAAAGAAAGTAGAATGAGAGGAGAATAATACCAACCTGCTAATTTTCAAAGATTCAACTGTTTAACCATCTGAATTGTAAATTGTAAAATAAGAATCTTGCATAGAAGAAGGGTCCTAATATTAGGAGACCCATCTTTCATTTAAGCGTTAATGTTTTACAATCTGAAATAATCTAAACTGTAAATAGTTTTTCGATTTTCAAAAACACCAGTTACAAATCTTTCAGAAGAAGGCAGAAAACATCCCTTGCTGCTAACAAAATTCAGAAATTTAATAACTCCTAAATACAAACAATATAGCAACAATCAGAGAGCAGTCATTTCCAATTGAACCAGACATCTAAGCTTTCTGGATACAGCCACAAAAAGAGGGCAAGTAGAAACTGAACTAATCTGAAACTTCAACTGCCAGCAAACATCAGATAGGAAATTTAACAGTGCCTCTCCAAAAATCAGTAAAGTGGCAGCAACTCATACCAGTTAAAACCACAGGAAAGAAGCAAAAGAAAGCAGAAAAAATTCAACTTAACTGACAGCACATGATCTGAACCTTAACTTGCCCAGAAAACACATGTTCTTTTCATTACATTCGTGTGATACGGATGTTGCACACCTTATTCTACACTTGAATAATGGACTGACATCTGAACCAGCATGGCAACTAGTACAAAATTCATTCTTCTCTATAACTCACTCATAAACAAAAATTAACTCTACTTGTATCAACTATCACAAGTATATCAGGTTGCAAAATCTGTAAATTGCAACCCCAAAGCTCAGCTTATTCAACCCTAAGGTTAAAGTGACTGGTTGTCTGTATATCTATTTTGTGAATACCAGGCATCCACTTGACAAAATTTAATTATGATAACAGGATATATAAAGTTAAAATAAGAACCACTAGTTAAATTGAACAATAATAATCTCATTACTTATTAGAAGCAAGAAATGAACAATAGAATTGACCATCATGCACTGAATTATAATCCATAAGATGCCCTACCCTTAATTTTGTTAGACTTTATAATAATTATAACCATTTCTATAAATTCTCGAACCACTAAATGCAAACTCTAGAAAGCAACATTTACATCATCAAAGAGCGTTAAAGATGACCCTATGACATTTGTAAGAATGAACCAAGAAACACTTACACGAAGTGCAAGACCAAAAAAGAATCCAATATAGTTCAGACTTCTTTTGACACGAGTTGTAACTGCCATGCAAAAACCGACAAAAATCTTTCCCTTAAATCCTGTCAGTTGCATCATTGTTTGCAAAGATGGTGAGAGAGCAAGCAACAATGGCTATCAGAGAAAGTGATTCAGCTGATCTCCTCCATCAGATGATAACAGTCCTCCACCATGTCCACCACTCTACATTGCTAACCAACCTCCGCCACCACCATCCTAGCCCTTATGTCCGCCATTACATAGACAACCTACTTTGTCACGTTCGCGACCTCCTTGTATACCTCTGCCAGCAGCAACTCCTTCCTACAGCTTCTCACCATCTACTCCAAGAGATGTTTGTCCATATCCGGCATATCATCAGACCCCTACGCCGGTTCGTCATCCAGTTCCGACAGGCTCACCAAGGCCACAACAATCAGTTCCTCCTCCAAGTTCGACGGGCTCACCTACGCCAGGTTCACCAACGCCGCAGCATAAACATCATCCACCTGGTCACTGCCAACCTCCATGGAGACGTCCTTGTGGTTCGACACCACCTTTTTGTAAGCCATCAATTTCAAGACCCCCAAAACTAGTTGGTACAACAATTTACCAACTAGCACCAACAACACCACTTTGAAGCACTCTTGACCCTCCCACCAGTTCATGAACCTCTTCGTCACTCACCACCTAAAACCCTTCCAGAATGCCAGTTTATCAACCACAACCTACATCTAAATGTCCAGCCATAAAACCTATGTCAATGTCCTGGCCTCTGTTAATCTATGTGCCTCAGTTGAACCTAGCATCACTCTATGGATGGTCACCAACTGTAATAAATGTATGCTTGTAAACTTTTCTGTGATGATATAAATCAGTGTGTGAATCATGTGTATGCAACCTCAATTTATCAGTGCTTTTATCTAGTTTCCTAAACTTGCACTCTCTATCAGCATACCTTATTGGACAATTTTGAACAGTTTATTGAGTTATGAGATTCAAAGCATGTATGGTAGTAAATGTAAAAAACAAATCCTCTGGAAAAGAAAAGTAGATCTAACTCAAAAGGAAAAAGATAACACATTTAGAAAATAAGTATAGAACTAACTCTGAATAATTTAGAATAGCATTTATTTATAGAAAATCAAAATGATATCAAATGGCTTCAAGAGCTAGATTACCCATCATTCTAGCCAGAGGGACAGGGCACTTTGTAACAATATCAAACTTGGAGGAATTTGAGGCACCCAACATCAAAGATAAGCCTAAAGAAACTAGCTCTCTGAGAGATAACCTAGTAGAAAGGAACCCTTGCCAGTAATAAGGATCCAAATCAAAGAAAGCATCAAAGAACCCTCTTGTCGCATTCAAATCAAGCTTCAGCAGAGTCTCCATGCCAAAAGTGTTGAATTCCCTGACCCTTCTCAGCTCATTTGGCCATAGCCCATTCCAAACCCTGTCATGAAGTGGTCTCCCTCTGATCATTCTGGTTGAGCCAAGACATTCTGCAATGGCATCAGCAACAACTGGAGCTAAAGCCATGGCCTGAGCCACCATGTACCCTGTTGAAGGATGAACTATCCCAGAAGTGCCACCTATAGCCATTACACTTTGAGGGATTTTGGGGAGAGGACCTCCCATTGGGATCACACACTTCTCATCCTCTATTACCCTCTTCACTTGGATCCCCAGGTGCCTTAGCCTTGCCACCATCCTCTGCTTTATTTCCATGTAAGACAGTATTGGCCGGCTAACTAGAGAAGTCTCTTCCAAGAATATCAAGTGTGAATCAAATGGCATTACATAAAGAAAAGTTGGCAATCTTGAATTTTTAACTCGTAAGTAAGGTTCATTTTGCAGATGTGAATCTCTCCAATCCATAAGAACCATCTTGTCTAAGTCAAAAGGATGATTTTCAACTTCAGCCAGAATGCCATGAGCAATCTGATATCCATGGTTTCTGGGCTTATCATACTCTACAAAAGTGCTCGCAAAACCACTTGCGTCTACAACTAAGCTTGCCTTAAGCTCACTTCCATCATCACACTCAATAACTGATTCAAACTCCTCATGCTTCACTTTCCAAACCTTAGCTTTGTGGAACTTTACTGGGTTCCAGAGACAGTTCTCCAATAACTTAGACTTTATTTTCTCCCTCCCAACTCGACCATAGGCTCTACCTAGGTATTTGGTCTTCTGGTCATCGATATAGACACAAGCCATTGGCCATGTTTTATCCAAACAATCTTCAAGCCCCAAATTCTCAAACTCATCAACCCAGACTCCATAATTGTTAGGCCAGACAGATAACGGTGAAGGATCAACACAACATACCTTGATTCCATGAAGGGACACTTGCTCAGCGAGGCGGAGACCAGCCGGGCCGGTGCCAATGATGATCACATCAAAGCGGGACCGATCAGAAGAGGGGTCATACAAAGGGAGTTCAAAATCCAAGAACTCAGGTTGTGACTCTGGCTTCAAGTCAAGGAAGTTCCCAAACTTGCTAATCCCAACTTTTTGACGAGTACCCTTTCTTGATGGACTGTGCTGGGATTTCAAAGAAGAAAATGAAATGGTAGGAGAACCAAAGATTTGGTTTTTAAACAGTGCAAAAGCTGGTGACAATTGCCCGAGTGAGGTTTCCATCAGAGTCCAAAAGAAAGAAAAACCAAAGACACTATGTCCTGCAAAGAAGATGAAGGAGATATTATATACAATGGAGAAATAAAGAAGTACTATGAAATAAATGACAAAGAGGAATAACAAAGTGATCACAAGCCAAAGATGCTTACCAAGTTTATGACAATTTTTAAATGGAATACTCTCATTGATATAGCAATATATTAATCAGCACTGGTGGGTAATTTGATGGAGCAATTAACAAATTGGCAGGCAAACAAATTTTTTACCTAATTTGCAATTGGTGGTTCATGCTCTAGATGCCAAGCCAACAGCAGTAAGAGAGATGATTCATGTCATGTGTCCACAAAAAAGAAAGAGGTTGAACCTGGCAAGCTAGGCATGTAGGACCCAGCCACTAAACTCTGCTTGACTTATCCAAGCATTTTCAATGTTTTTGGGGCGGCAAAGAACAAATCATAGGACATTGCTTATCACCATTTCCTGCACTTCAGCACAGTGGGGGCATGGATACAAGGTGGTATATCCACATGGATGACCTAACTACGATCCAAAGTGGGAAAATGAAAAAGAAAAAGAAGACAACGGTGAAGGTAACGAGATTGTAAAAGCTGAATTGTTAAACACTAAAATCACAACAATATGCATCAGAATTAAGTTCTATTTTGAGATTAATTAATTAATCCACTGAAAGCTCCAGAAAGTCCCCAAGCTAGTTACTTTGAAACCAGAGATTCAGCTCAAAAGCAAGAAAAAAACACCAAACACTCCATCAGCTTCTAAAAGTGGTAAATATAAATCAAAAAGAGAAATCAAGTGAGAACCTTTACAGTTCCAATAAATTGTTTTCCTTGGGATTAAATTAAATTCGACTCACATGCAGCACATGCCTCCGACGACGAGTCTTATGAAGCTGTGGGCTCCGCCATGAAAGATCTCCGGCGTGGCCATGGTGGAACTGGCGTTTCCCCCAGACCCAGCATTTCGGATTCAAAGAAAAAAACTACTCCCAAATGCACGAAACAAACGGATTTGATTAAAGAGAGACATACAACCCTTTACGCTTTACAATTCTCTGGGAGAGTTTCCATTTTTCCTTGCTAATTTACGAATTTCTATTTTATTTTAATATTTTTATATAAAATTAAATAATTCAGTCCTTAACTTTACAAGGAAACTCGATTTGGTTCATTAAGTTTTTCTTAAATAAGATTTCTTTAAGCAAATGGCTGTAGAGTTGGGAGGTGATTCATTACAAATTTCCTATTTTGATGCGGCAAAACCTTATATTAAGCCGCCAAACTTACTTCAAAATTTGGATTAAGTCCCTAAATTTTTATTGAAACAAATAAGCCTTAAATTTGAAAATTCAAACAATTTAACCCTTTTTTTTTATGGTAAAATTAATATCCTATCTACATAGAGGGTATTGATTTCGTCCATGCAAGTGAAGCACAAATATATATTAAGTTTGTCATAAAGAAAAGAAAATGTTAAATTACCTAAATTGTCAAATTCATGAATTTATTTACCTTAATAAAAAGTTAAAAATTTAATTGAAAATGTTGGATAAATTCAAGAACTTAAGGTACCATGAACAAGCTGATTCAGAAACCAGAATGCTCCCTGGAAGGCTGGAACAAAGATCTGGAATGAATAAACCAGATGTTTACAGAGTATTTTGAAATTACAAGCAGGTCTCAAGTTGAGAAAATAAATGACTGGTTCTAAAGTTCATACATTTACAAGGTAGAGAGATAATCCGCAACAATGTGATGGCCAACTCAATTTTTCGCTAGTGAAAATCCAGACAACGTTCCAATAATAGGAACAGAATATACATGAAGCCTACTTGAACCTGTAAAGATACTGTATCTTAAGATATGCCGCAAAATATGACAAATTTTCACATTTGATCTCAGAGGCAGCGGTAATGCATACTTCAACATGAATTGAAAGCATGAGGATTGCCAATCAAGATCTGCATGAGGGTAGAGTGATGCCTCCACAGCAAGCGGCAACTATTATGTACAGCAACACAAGGATTACGCATGTCAAGAGTGCCCTGTAGACATGAACAAATTGGAACGGTTAGAGGCTTCATAAATGGGTTATTACAGCAGCACTGAATAAAGAAGAAGAAGAGAAGAAAAACGGTAGTGATAGCAATAATTTGGAGTTACTCACAGGAGTTTGGCATTTTTCATCCAAATAGCTCGACGAAGGGTTTTAGATTGTTTCCTGAAGTGAAAGGCACTGTCTTGCATTGTTGCAGTTTTGTCAACAAGAAGCTCAATTCTGTCACCTCTCTCTAGTACTTTCTCAATATTCTCCACCATTATCGAACGTATCTGAATGCCATTATGGTGTATTGATAAATGAATTATTGACTTTAAAAGAAAAGGAAACACTGAAATTGAAGCAAAACTGAACTATCTTAAATCCCAAAGATCATATCACTATGTGAAATGCATCCTTTTGTTCAATTAGAACATGTTTTCACCAGATGCTTGCCATTCATAGTGAGGATTTAAAAGACACATTCTAGAACACAATTGAGAAGATACATGCCTCACCCACTTCACCTCTAACACGATTGAGAGTATCTGCACTAGGATTACTGGAGAAAAATTCCATTTGTTGATGTAACACCCTTGAGAATTCATCATTCATTGCATATGCTGGAGCATAGGGGGCTACTCTCCCGTAGTTTTTCATGAACCTCATGTGGATATCCTCCAAGTATGAAAAAGGAATTCTCCCTGCATTGAGACATAAGATAATGGATTTTAATCATCCATTCATTATTAAAAATTTATTTGAATGTGTTGCCATCTGAAAACCCTAGCCACTTCACCTCATATAAAACCAAAGTTTTAAGCTTTCCATCATCTTCCCTGGCCCATCACTGGAAAACATATGGAAAGCACAGGGAGGCACTTAAATGACATCAAGCAGAAAAGAGTCTGACAGAATTTATTAATAAGCATGTCTAACTCTGTTCTCAATAGGATATCTGAAAACTAGCCAATGAAAACCATTCATTATGTCAGGAACTAGGCTATTCATGATGAAAAAATGAGTGGAGATAACAGCAATCCAGTTAATTAACTGAACAAATAAGTAGGATAAAAATAAAATTAGTAACCATAAGTCGAAATCTTAAGAAGGACATTTGACCTAACATCATTTTCATGAAAGTTCTTTCATGTCATTCCCTTTGTTAAATCATGCCCACATGAAACAGAGGGCCTCTTCCTCACCTTTGAAATGCATTATAGGAAAACAAAACAGGGGCACTTATGCCGATAAGTTTTCTCCTAAGACTCATTTGTTATTCTCAAACTTGATGATGATAAATCAATTCTAAATGTGCAACATTCATTTTCAAATTGCAGGAATTGTTTCCTTGGTAAAAAAATCACATGTTTCCGTTTACTCTCAAAATGCCCTCATTGCAAAATCAAAGAGATTATTTGTCTTTACTAGTTCAGTGGCTTAAACTCTTTTCAAAAGTACTAAAATTATCCTTCCAACCAAAAATATAAATTTCCAAAAGGGATCAAACAGTCTTTCACACAAAATCTTTCCAAATGTGTTTATTTTAGAGATTTTTGAGAAAGTGCCGGAACCATGTGCATGGGGCAGGAACTTTCTTACATTCTGGTTCTGTTTATTGCAAAACTTGCATCAAGGTTCCGACACCATCAAGATAGGTGCGGTCAAACCAACACATTCATCCATATATCTAGTCCCAAAATCAAGTCATCACATCCAGTTATATACCCATTCCCAAGCTGGAAAATTCACAATTTCCAGCAAACTAGACTAATTATCCTTTCTTGTATGAATTCAGTATCCCCAACAATTGAAAATTCTAACTGAAAGGAAAAAGCTTGATGGGGATGAAGTAAGAAACTTACTTCCAAAAGTATCGTTGGCCATACACAGGAAGGTGAGGCCATCGGACCTGAGTACGTGAAAGACGTAGCGATCTTGAGAAAGGCAGAGCCTGGAATCGGCTTGGTTAGGCAACTTCTCAAGGATCCGACGAGCCACAGCGCCCGCGTTTCCCGTGACGGCACTGAACTCTGCCAGCACCACCGTGCCCCGAGCCACCACCGCATAAAGAATCGCCATCAAGAAAAGACCCTATCTTTACAATCGATAGGTGTTATTTAAGCTGATGGCGGATGTGGCATGGAAAAGAGGTGGTCTTGTTAAGGGATTGGATCTCCCGACGGTTGATCGTTGGGGGGTTTATGACTTTAACAATAGAGGGCGGTTGCCGCTCACCGGAAAGTCCACGTCTTTCGGTTCTCTTCCCTGAGAAATTAGATGTTGACGGGAAGGCCGGTGGGTATCGAGAGCCCGTGCCTGTAGCTTGTTCCCACTTACCACCCCCGACTCTCGTTGAAAAAGGAAGGTTAAATTCCAATTTTAGTCCCCATACTTTTAATTTTGAATATTATTTATCGTTAAACTATTTTTTATATTTTTTTGACACTTTAACTATGGAAAATACATTTTTTTTATAGTTTTTTTAGTTATTTCCTTAAACCTATCCATATATATACATATATATATTTAGTTTAGACTAAAAATATACATGAGTTATCTTGTTTTATCTCTCTCCTCTTTCTCTCATTTAGAACTCTTCAACATCTGCCTCAAAACTTCTCTAATTTTCATCCCTTTTTTAGGTGCTTGAAAGCATCTGGGCTTCTCAAGCTTTTGATGCTTAAGTAGATGAAGGGCTTCTCAAGCATGGTGGGGTTGATCAACCATGCTCCTATGTTCGGTGACAACTTTAGATGGAAAAGATGGTCTGTCGGTTCTCTTGTGGCCTTGTTGGTGGCCTTTGTTCTCTTTTCTTGTTGTTTCTTGTTTCTTGTTTTGGTTTGCTCAGATTTGGTAGCCAATAAGCCAATCATGAAGAATTTTGGGGATGGCCACTACTTACTCTAAGGTTCTAGTCACGGCATTCTGGAAAACATGTGTAATTTGCAAGAATCGATTGAAGGGTATCCAGTTCTCTTGAACAGTCGACCAAAGGAATCTGTAAAAATCTATTTCCTTAGTAGTTGTTCATATGAAATGTTCACTACCTTTCTTTTATTTGTCTTATGTTAAACTTGATCTACTTTTCATTTTCTCTCCAGTT